CCCCCACAGACTCTGACACCCCCCCTTCCCCAAACCGGCAGACCTGGGATCCCCCAAATCCTACTGAGACAGCCCAAAATCACATAGCAACTCCTTAATTCACACCCCAACTCCCAGCAGAAAGATCCTGGGGTCTCACTAAGACACTCTGTACACCATGACTCACACCCCAAAACACCCCAACTCCTACCTGAAAGATCCTGAGAGAACTGGGGTCCCCAAATCCTACTGACACAACCAAAATAATACCCTAACTCCTGCTTCACACCCCAAAACATCCCAACTCCCAGCTGATCCCAACATCTACCAGTGCATAGGGAAGTCAAACACCAATTCCATCTCAAACATACCAGGTCATCCTAAATATACCCTAAAACTTCACCAAACACATTTACCCCCATCCCTGCAACACCACAATGCCCCATGATGGATAACGAGAGACTGTATCACCCACGAAAATACTGTGTTCTATCGAAATGGCACCCTAACCCTCTGATATGGGATTGCTAATCCCATACATACCGTAATAGGTCTCAGATATCACACCTCAACTCCCACTCAACAAATCACAAAATACACTAATGTACTCCTTAAAATATTCCACCTCACCAGACACCCCGAAAATAATACTGGTTACCGCCAAACCTACTGGGACCCACCAGAAATGAAAGTTACATCATGTCCCAAGTAGCTCTTCCAAAACTCATAATGGACCAAATTGGACATGATTCACAGCACAGCTTCCATACTGATACCATTAACTCTCCTCCGGATACCCCAAAATCCTCCATCCATCTGAAGATACACCAACTAACCCGACTAGACTAGGTTACCAGCCTGACACGTTCTCTCTTAGTGACCCTGAAACGTTCTTACTTGCCCCTGGTGTAACAATCCCCTCGCATAGCAACCCTAAAACCCTCTCTCATACTTCCACTCTTTCCTAAAACCACAGTTCCCTCACAGACAATCCCCGCTCCTCACCCACATTGTATTAACAGCCCAAACACCTGAAAACCCTCCGAGACAAACTCAAACAGCCCACCTTGAATAAAGTGAACCTGTCATCAGTTTTTAAACTTTAGTCAATGTTTTTTCATTTCCTTCAATGAATCTTTTTCCTACATTCCCACCTTCTGCTCAATAGATTTGGCCACCATGACTCCTCCTGTGTGGCTGGCAACCGCTTCTCCACATGCCTCTTAGTTGTCCTACTTTTGGCAGGACAGTCCCAATTTCATGGTCATGTCTTGCTGTCCTGCTTTAGTTCCCTGGTGTCCGTGATTCGGGTACACCAGGGAATTTGGTCTTCCAGGGACCTGGTCCTCCATGCAGTTGGCTGGCCAGGAGGCTGTCTTGGAGATTGGCATGCTTGACGCCATGATCAAACGCCCATTCAGTGGGCGAATCTGCCTACTTTCTGGGCGAGCCCACCTATTTAGGGGCATCACCAGTGACTCAAAACATGATTATTATCATAATCTACACATTGACTAGCCATTTCGCTAGCACAATGTATAGCTAGTTTGAGGAGAGGAATCAAATTAGAAAAAGTAGAATGAACATGATCGGTACCCATTAAAGGACAACTGTCATCAAACTTTCACATCTTCTTATTTTTAAAATGTTTATTATTTTCTGAAACAATGATATAAAATGATGTATACTTATATTTTTCCAGCGCATTTCACTTGTTTGTTTAACTGGTTGGGCAGCTGTGTTGTGTCAGACTCGACTTTTATCTGACTAAATGCTGTTCAACCTAACTTGCCTGTTGCTGTGATTTTCAATTTTTCGAGTGACACCGCCACGTCTGTACGTTTATTTCCTTGCGATGCATGAGATACATGGGGGGGCTAGGGGAATGAGACACATGGGGGGGCTGAGGGAATGAGATACATTGTGGGTCTGGGGTAATGAGACCCTTTGGGGGCTGGTGGAATGAGACACATGGGGGGGCTGGGGGAATGAGATACATGGGGGGCTGGGGGAATGAGACACATTGTGGGTCTGGGGGAATGAGACACATGGAGGCTGAGGGAATTAGACACATTGTGGGTCTGGGGGAAGTTTACTTCCTTGAGATGCATGCCACGCTTCCTTTTCAATATCAGTGCAACACCACAAAGTCTGTCATTGTATACAAGGTTGACACTAGACATGTACACATCCTTTTCACCTGCAACAAACAAAAACAATTCCTGTTGATCTACTCCGAACGTCTCGATCCCGGACAGATCTTGGCAGATTATCAGGAATTTGATTTGTTTGTCGAAGGTGACATTGCGACTCTAGTAATTATGCCAGGATGAAACAGTTACAACTCTCCTTAACCCCTTAAGGACACACGACATGCGTGACATGTCATGATTCACTTTTATTCCAGAAGTTTGGTCCTTAAGGGGTTAAATAACAGTTAGAAACCTCCACCTGTCCCATCAGTGTGCTAACACCATGCCATATGCAAAGGGGGGTATAGTGGAGTCAAGATCTAGATAGTTTTCCTTGTAAATCAGGGAGACACAGCTATGGCTGATATTTAAAGTGAAAAAGACATTTAAAATGGTGAATAACGTGTCATAACATTTAAAACCACCATTTCCTGGTGGCAGCATGTTCTCAAGCCCAGTAAGCACGCTGCAGAGGGTGCCATTTAAATCTGTCACGTGGTTTCAGTTCCAGCTGCGCTTCAAGCCTCATTGTGGGGACAAAGCCACGCCCACTCAGCAAAGCTTCTCTCTTGTGGGCGGTGCTCTCAGTTCCTCACCACCTCCTTGACACGTAAGAAATGTCTGTAAGGCTGGCAGACATGCGGTGACCCAGTGGCCTAATGGATAAGGCATCAGCCTCCGGAGCTGGGGATTGTGGGTTCGAGTCCCATCTGGGTCGCACTTAAATCCTGTTTTGTCAAAATTAAAATTCCCCAGGAAATGATCCCCTTATTGTTAATTAATTAGAAAGCCGCCAATCCTCTCACTCTGGGAGCTGAACATGGTATGTTTATATATATATCTTTTTACACAGTGAAGCTGACTAAAACGCAAAATAATTACTGGCAGGATTATGTTTATAAATATAGAAATCTCACCCAGCAATTATTTATTATTTCCTAACTTTATGCAGGCAGTATAGAATGCATTGTGTATGAGAAGGGTTTTAGTGTTATCTTTTGTCTTTTAAATTATAGTAAGGAATAGAATTTTACACATAAGGGGGCTGGGAATGAGACACATGGGGACTGGGGAATGAGAGACACATGGGGAGCTAGAGATGGGGAGCTGAGGGGAATGGGGTATTGTGGGAGCTACTGATAGATAGGCTGGCATGGGGGGCTGGGGACAGAGCAAGGGTATTGTGGGTCACAGAGATACATTGTGGGTCTGCTGGGGATACATGGGGGGCTGGGGAATGAGACACATATAGGGGGGGCTGGGGAATAGAGAATACACATGAGAGCTGGGGAATATACATGGGGGCTGGGGAATGAGACATGGGGGACTGGAGGAATGACAGAGATACATGGGGGGGGAATGAGACTGGGGGCTGGGGAATGCATAGGAGTACATTGTGGGTCTGGGGGTACATAGAGGCTGGGAATGCAAGATACATTGTGGGGCTGGGGAATATTAGAGATACATGCAGGAGGCTGGGGAATGAGACACATGGGAGCTGGGGAATGAGATACATTGACAAGAGTGGGTATGAGGTGCTGGGGGATGAGACACATTGTAGGGCTGGGAGGAGAGATACTGGGGAGCTGAGAATGAGATACATAGGGTCTGAGGGAATGAGATACTGGGGAATGAGAATGACACATGGGGGCTGGGGAGAGGGGGGGGAGCTAAGAATGACATGGGGGCTGGGGGAGAATGGGATACATGGGGGAGGCTGAGGAATAGAGATACATTGTGGGTCTGGGGAGATGAGAGATGCTGGGGAATGATACATGGGGCTGGGGGAATGAGAGACACATTGTGGGGCTGGGAATGAGAGACACACATGGGGGAACAGAATGAGAGATACTAGGGGCTAAAGAGACACATTGGGGTCTGGGGAATAGGAATGAGATACATGTGGGTCTGGTGAGAGATACATGGGGGCTGAGGAATGAGGATGAGGGAGTGAGATACACATTGGAGGCTGGGGAATGAGATTGTGGGGGTCATGGGGAGCTGGGGAATGAGACACATGGGGGGCTCTTGGTAATAGAAACACATGGAGGCTGGGAATGAGATACATGGGGGCTGGGGAATGAGAGACACACATGGGGCTGGGGAATGAGATACATGGAGGGCTGGGAATGAGAGACACATTGTGGGTCTGGGGGAATGAGATGAGGAATGAGGCCCATTGTGGGTCTGGGATGGGGGCTGGGGGATACATGGGGGCTGGGGAATGAGGTGGGTCTGGGGAATGAGAGATACATTGGAGGCTGGGAATGAGACACATGGGGGCTGGGGAATGAGAGACACATGGGGGGCTGGGAATGAGACACATGAGATACATGGGGGGGAGCTGAGGGAATGTGACACATTTGGGGTCTGGGGGAATAGAGACACATGGGGGCTGAGAATGAGGCAGGGAATGAGACACATTGTGGGTCTGGGGAATGGGGAATGAGATACATGGGGGCTGAGGGAATGGGAGACATAGGTCTGGGGAATGAGGGGGGGCTGAGGGAATAGAGATACATGGAGGGCTGGGGAGAGTAGAGACACATTGTAGGTCAGGCTGAGGAATGAGACACATGGGGGCTGGTAATAG